CAAAATCAAGAACTATAAAAACTGATCATAAAGAAACTTGTCTCAGAAAATGAGGAAAACACAATATAGCCTACAGGCGGGTTTTAGTTTCTAACAACATGCAAGAAAAAACAGCTCTGTGCTGCTGGATAGCCAACATTTTAAGGCACGAATAAATTGCCTCAAGCAACTGATTCAACAAACACAAGGCAGTTATTTCACTTACTCAACTTTAGTGAAACATTTTAGGTCATAAGACTTGGAGATATGTAGAACTGCTCAGAATACAATAAAGTGTTGAGGCTGCTCTTCTTATCACTTCATGTTTCTTCAGACTGTGACCTTATCTCCTTGGAGGACACGAAGCGGTGACGATAGAGGCAAAAGAGCCGAAGGCAAAGCCGGGAGTGAAAACAGGAGACCTTAAGAGACAGTTTTTCCATTTTGCATAATTTTTTTTTTTTTTTAAATAAGATAAGTAGTTTGTATTGTGCTCACCACCGTTGTTGTTGCCCTGTCTGATGCGTTTGGGGTTATAGGTCAGGGTAGTGTTTGGACTAAGACAACAATATTTTTACAAAAAAATGCATTTTGCATACGTGAAGTGAAATTTTCAGAGACCTACCTCAATTATATGTTACTTTCCTAAAATAATGGCCTATGTCACTTTTTGGTAAAAGTGATTTATTTTTTTCTAAAGCATCTTTTGAAAAGAAAAGTGTTTTTTTTTTTTTTTTGTTTTGTTTTGTTTTTTGCTAAACTCAAAAAATAACTGAGCATTATTTTAGAAATTTGACAATATTTAGTTCTGAGATCAGGTTAATTTGTACAAAATAATGTGGGTATAAACTCATCACTGATCTTCAATGCTGACAATGTTCTTTGTTTGATGACAAATATTCAGCTTGCAACTGCGCAACAGCACTATGAACAGCAGGATTTGAGGAAAGTGCGTCTGGAATCATGCAGAACATCAGGTCATGCCTCATTCCTTCCATCAGCTCTAACACTTGACTATCTTGAGCAACTAATGTACAAATGTACAACATGATTTTGATAAATCAGCACTGAACTTTATTTGCTCTCCCTAAATTTCTCAATTCTCCCTGACTTTCCACTCCTTTCTGAAAAGCTTTAACAATATTCATCTCTACCAAACAAGTTCCTCTTTTCTTCTTCTCTTGCAAACAATACTTTTTCACCTATCTGAGAAGTTTATCAATGTTTAACATAGGTTCAAAATGTGTAACATGAGTGTAGCAAAAAACTGTCTGTACCCTCTTTAAGCTTGTTGTTATAATTTTTCTGTAAATGAAAATCTTTTGTCTAATCTCCATTTTGATCATCTCTGATTCACTTTAAATGGAAAATTTCCACTTTAATTTATTCCAGTCAACAACAAGAATGCTTGTATATTTATACAAGAAGCCACATCAGGCACTTATGTTGCACAATAACGTCTTTAAATAGGGATTAGCAGCTTCATCATCGTTGGTCATCGCTCTGCAGTAGTTGGTATGGTTAACAGAGGGAAACCACAAAAATGAATGTAGTCTGTACCACTCGAGTAAGGGAGTGCCATGTTTTGTTTCCATTTTCAATGCTTTGAATGAATTAAGAAAGATAATATTTCAATGTTAAAGCCACAGTAAAACTTTTATTTGAATTACTAATAGGTTCCAAAAGCTGACCTCACCTCACTCTAGTAGCAACAACAATTTTAGCAAATTGAAACAATTAATCCCCCCCTTGCAAAAAAGAGATAAATAAACACAGCAGGTCTTGATACTCAATTCCAATTGTTTGCTGAAATACAATTTATTTTTGCATCAGACTTCTTTGTGAATGGTTTCTGACCCCGAACCGACCTGCATGTGCAGAAGAAGAGCATAGATGTCACACAGCAGTGCACTGTTTAACGGAGGAAATAATGGATTCTACTATTTCTTGATCAATAATCAAGTTGTTGAGCATTGGGAAGTGAAAGAATTGTCACCAGATTATAACAAGACAATGAAAGAGACATGATATATAGAATATATATTTGAAGAAATTTAGTGCCAGAAATAATCGTTACTCACCGCCGTTCATTTTTATAGGAGTGGAGACAGAAGCTCGAGACTGCATGGAAAATACCTCTAAATTCTGTGAAACCACATGAGTATTGTACAACTTTTTTTTTACTAATCTGTAATAATGTCTGTTTTTCTGTGTCCACTTTTATATTGGGGCTCTGTGTGAAATTGTACAAAATGAAAATATAGTTCTTTTTCTTTGTGATTTCTTACATCATAACCTGAGTGACTCCACTCGGTCTGAGATGAGGAGAAACACACACATCTCCAAATTGTGCATCTTGGCAGTTTAAATAAAAACTTTTATAGATGTTAGAGCAGCAGTGGTCAACTTTAGCACTCAAAATCCAGTGTCTTGCATGTTTCCATGGTGTCACCTACTTCAGCCTAATAAACACCTCAGTTGTCTCCTCTGCATGTAATCAAGTACTGCAGGTGATTTCATTTGATTCAGGTGTGTTGAAACAGGAGAACAAATAAAAAATACAAGACACAAGGACGTACCTCTGCTTTAGAGCTTCACAAGGACCAAAATGTAAACTGTAAAAAATCACAGATGTGAGAGTTTATGCTGATGTAACAAATAAAAAATGCTGTTATTATTCTGTCTTTGCTTACACAGACAAACTGAACATAGATTGAGCAGTTCTGTTTCACTGTGTTTTATGATGTGCAGTGTTGCAGATTCAGAGGATTGACAACAGCAACTGTCTAAAGCGCATATTTGGCCCTTCCAGCCAACTGTGATATCATCCACATCTGCTTTAAAGACACATCAGCTTCAGTAGGTAATTTCTTTATAGATTCTGAAGAGAAACAGCCAAAACTGAACATGCAGTATAGAAAAACTGCATAACAGGCAACATTTTCCTTATATGAACAAATTTACAGTAGAGAGTATATATAGATTTCTCTATAATCAACTACACAAATACTGTTGTGAGGCAACTGGTAAATAAAATGAAGTGTTAAGACAGATGTCACAAATGATTGCAGAATAAAACCTCAATAATGTTTCCATGCACTCTATGGATTTATGTTTCCCTACTCCATAACACATAACACAGTGGTTAGAATATTTTCTCACATTTTCCCGACAGATTGATTGGCTTCATGTAGCAGTTGACTGAAGATTAATCCATTTCACTGCGGTAACAGTTGAGCTCATGACATTGCAGAGGAAATGAGAAGTATTTCATTTCTATCAGGGTTATTTCACAGTTTAAAAGGGTTTTAAACGTAAACTATATGTCAAATGTCAATGTGCGTCTTACTTCATTAGAAACAAAACAAAAAATAAATTAAACCTGAATTAATTTCACATCACTCATGGATCATTAAATTGATTTATTTAGGATTCTAATGGTCACAAAACATGAAATAACATTTAAGTCAAACAGGATTATGTTTAACATTGACTTTCGTGAGTAAGTGGGTTTTGTTGCTGTAACTGTATCATAAATTTCTGAACAGATCACGAATATAAATATTGATTGAATTGAAAGAGATGCACAAAGGATTACGAAAATTTTAGGTAAGTTGGTTTATCCCAGATACTTAATAGAGAAGATTTATAGTCATTTAATACATCAAATTGTAAAAGAATCTCGATGTAATCTGCTTGTTTCCTCATAGATTTTTTTATAACTTAATTCATGTGGTAAACTAGATATGAATGTATTTTAAATTGTTAAACTTATTTATTTGTAATTTCAAATCTACCTTTAATGGGTCTAATTGTATTAAAACACAGCAATGGGAGAGCCTGAAAAAGAAACAGTAAAACATAAACACTGAATCTTGGATTTCCAGATTACAAATACAGAACAGTTTAAATTACTGAAAAATCATTACAATAAAACACCTGGTCATGCAAAAACTTTCCAGGCATTGAAACGTTAGACGACTAGAGAGTTTCCAGGCAGTGACGCCATGTGACCTAATTTCGACAGACCGCTGCTCCTGCGTGTGTAAAACTGACGGCCAATGTGTGTGGAGAACTGCATCAATGTGTTACCGTGCAGCACAGACACCTACATACCACACTGCCCTTTTCTCATTGTGTAACATTAGAACCATAAACTGCAGTGTATTTTATTTGAATTTCATAGACTAACATTTAACTAGGAAGTGGATGAAAAATGATTTCTTACAAATGAATGTACTCTCTGTATTGCTATGACATCTGTATGCATTTTGAAAAATATGTTTCTTACATTTTTCACAATTATTGACTGATTCTTATTTTCAAAGTAACTTAAGCTCTGTTAAATGCACTGATAGTGTATGCAAATATCAGATTTCCACTTTTTCTACATATTCAAAAATGGATGTAGAGCTGGACTTTGACTGGACCCTTCTAATAAAAGAAAATGGTTTCCATTTAAGTTTTGATTCTATGTTTAGGTTGTACTTATAGGTTTGCTGGGAGGGGACCAAGTCTCTAATGTTCTTTAACAAACAAGCTTTCACTAAACTGTTTATTTCGAGGCATTGAGGTAAGCGAGCCTGAACACAACTTGCACCACTTTTGGAAAAAACGAAAAGTGTCCTTTCTCCTTCACAGTCATGCACCATATTGTTTTAGTCCGTCACATAAACAAGGCAAAACCCAGAAAAGTTGGGCTGTATGTTTTATATATTAGTTACACTAAGATTAAAGTTATTATTTTGAGAATATGGGATGCTTTCCATATTTTGGAAACCTCTAAAATTGACAATTTTCCGGATTACATTTGTAGCGTGGACATTGTATAGTACTTAGTTTTGCGTGCCAGATGCAAAAGGAGCACCCAGAAGGGAGTTGAGAAAGGGGTTTGTTAGAGAAGATTTTCTGCTTCTGTTACACGCTGCGTGGGTCGTCTCTCACGTCGTCGGACCTCCCTCCTCCGCCTGAAACTAAGCCATGCCCAGATAAATCACTCCCAGCACAGAGGGAACCTCCACTCAGGGGTCGCAGACAGACGGGGGAGGTTGAAGAGCTGCAGAAAGTGGAGAGGTGCTGGAAACCCCAAAGCGGCGGAGAAGTGATCACAGTCTGAAAATCTCACTGGGAGCACCTGTGGCCGTGCACGTCCTGCGGCACCCGAGTGGGCTTTGATTGCAAACAAAATGTCCGGTCACAGCACCATAGCCGGGGTGCTGGTCGCTCTGTGCATCGGGAGCGCGGTGCACTCCATGCCCCAGGGGACGCTCACCAACCCGCAGCTGTATCGCGCTGCCTCGGTCTCTCCAGGTAAAACAGTTTTATCTTCTCCTGTGTTTTCTAAATTGATATTCCTTTATTACTTTTGGGTACTTGTTGACTTTTTACAGTTATCAAAATATTTTTCTTTGAATTTATAAAATAGTTTCGCTGATCTGACAACGTTTATGTGTTGATGCGGTTGCGTTTAATGGCATCTGCCTAATGATGACATCCAGCACTAATTGCCTTCATCAGCCTCTGCTCGCTATGTCACCGGATTAACCTTTAGCTCATGTCCTACATCATCTTCGTTCATATGAAACCTGAAACCATCCAAGTTCACACAAAGTTAAAAGAAGACTTTGTAAAGTGGATTAAAGGGGGGAAACGATAATTGCTCTGGAAATAGGGAGCTCTGTACAAAGAATGTTCCTGGTGGGGGAGAAAAAGAGGATGACTATTCTTCTCCACCCTGTGCAAATGATTTATGACAGTTTAGAAGTTCCTTTGAAGCCTTGTTACCACTGCTGGATTATGTTCAGAAACATAAAGGGCAGAGTTTCACTCTGGTATCTGAATGTTTAATCTAGACATCAGTTATTCTGATACTATATATATATATATATATATATATATATATATATATATATATATATATATATATATATATATATATATATATATATATATATATATATAAAATGTATCATCAGAGATAGTGATCTGTGTGTGAAGCTGAGGGTAAAAAGAAAACAATTTCTCTCAGTTCTGCTCCTATGTCTTCACCAGTGTTTTGTATTATTTTCTTTGTCTCATCTGTTTCTCTCCTCTCTGCTCAGATGGCTGCATAGAGAACGGCCAGTCATATAACGTAAACGACCAGTGGGAGCGTCCTTATTTGAGTGGCACCCTGATCTGTACCTGTCAAGGAGTTGCTGGGATTAAGTGCAGAAGCAAGCCAGAAGGTTAGCTTGTATGCTATTACAATATCCGTATGTTTTTTTGTTTGTTTGGATTAATGTGGCATGCATTTGTGTTCTGCTGCTTCTTAGACTTAGACTTAGACTTTTTTTTTTTTTTTTTTTTTTGAAAAAAATTTTTTTTTTTTGATAGCCCTAAATAAAATGCACTGCAACCAATCTAATTCTGAACTTACTACCTTAATGGTTTAGCTGTGTATAACTTAATTATAGTTGGTGCAGAACTCCATTCTCAGGGCCACTTACAATTCTAGGGGAGTAAAATTAGTGTTTTGTGCCATTCTTTGTGCATCCATGTGGACAAAAACATTTCTGGAAATGCCCTCATGTGGGTGGGGCCTGAAAATGGGAACAATAAAACTAACAAGGCATGACTGCCCACCTATGCTGACAATTGTTGGTTTTGCACTCCACAAATCTGGCTCAAAAAGAAAGTGGCTGGAAGAAAGCCTCTGATGAAAGCAACAAGATCTATTTGCAGTTTGCAAACATTATAGGAAAGAAGATGCTTTCACCAAAAGAGAACTTTTTGGCCTACATCTAAAGTGTATACATTTGGTGGAAAGTTATTGTTGAGCATCACCCTTAGCACACCATCCCAGTGGTGAAACATGGTAGTGACAGCATCATGCTGTGGGGACCAGAGAAGCTGGTCAGAGTGTAGTTGAAAGAAAGATTGGTCGAGGTTGTAAAAGAAATGGCAGAGGTTAACCCTCCAGCAGGACAAATGTCATAAATATAGTTGTTACAACTCCTCCCCAAGACCACTGCAAAATTATTTAAGAAGCCACAAACTCACAGACAAGACCTCTTCAGATCAAGGCCCAGGGAAAAAGGGATTTGACATCACTGGCATGAAGCTCTTTATGGGGCGGCTGACAAGCTCCAACACATTACACCTGTGGCAACCAGGTAGAACTGAAACACAAAGAGAGAGCTCTAATGAAGAGAGCCCCTAGAGGCCAGTGACCATAACAACAGTAAAACCTATTAATGTGTTAGAGTATTCCTAGATTTAAATAATTTGTTGAAAGACTTAAAAATAACTGACTGAAGATAAATAACATATTTGTCTAGTTTTAGGTGTCAAAAATTTAGAAAATCAAATACAATTTTCCTTTTTCTTTACAATTATGCACTTCTTGGTGTTTGTCTGTGATTTGAAGTCTTAGTAAAATCACTGGAAGTTTGTCATTTTCTGAAATGCATATGTTTGCACTATTTTTCTAACTAACTTTGAAACTATTTTGCTTTTTTTTTTTTTTTTTTACCTATGGCAGAGGAAAAGTGCTACGACAAACTCAGCCAGAAGTTCTACAGCGTGGGAGAAACCTTCGAAAGCCCAAAGGATGGCATGATCTGGGACTGCACGTGTATTGGATCGGGGAAGGGCAGAATCAGTTGCACCATTGCAAGTACGTGTTGTTATTTGTGGTTCAGCACACAACCTCTCTGGTTGGTGGGTAGTCTCTTTTCCTGCCGCCATGTGCCAGACTGACTGCAGTAAACTTCTAAAACTCTGTATTCCTTATAGCTGATTAAAAACGGCTTTCCTGCAGCTGCTTGCAGTTAGCTGAAGGGTTAGATAATGGTGCAAATGTTTGAGTTATTTAATTTCCTGTGCCTCTTCTTGACTACATTTACACAGACAGACAATCTTTAAATCTACTCTTTTCTCTCTGTCTAACCAGATCGCTGTCATGATGGCGGCGCCTCCTATAAGATCGGAGACACCTGGAGGAGACCCCATGAAGGAGGCTACATGCTGGAGTGTGTCTGTCTGGGTAACGGGAAGGGAGAATGGACCTGTAAACCTGTTGGTGAGTCATTAAGATAGCTAACTTATTATTCAGTGTACAAGACTAGGAAACTTTGAATCGGTTTGCTAGAATTCTCTGACTTTGGATTATTTATTTCTGCCAAAACGTTGAATACTATTCACATTATTAACATTATTTTAGGGCTGTTCTGAATGTTGATACTGAGACACTAACAAGTTGGGGGTAAAACAATCTTAAGATGATTTTTCTTTTTGCAGCTGAGCGTTGCATTGATCAGGCGGTTGGAACATCCTACGTTGTTGGGGAGACGTGGGAGAAGCAATACCAGGGATGGATGATAATCGACTGCACCTGTCTAGGAGAGGGAAATGGACTGATCACATGCACATCCAGAAGTAATTATTTATCTTACTTCCTCTGCGTTTTCTTTCCTGGCAGCGAACCTTAATTGTTGTAAATTAAGATTAAAGCAGTAAATGTACCATGCGGAAATGCATAGTACATGGGATTTACAAGAATCTTCAGTGTGGATGCATTTACTGAGTGAAAAACACTTTGTTAGGGATTTCCGGTGAGTTGTTTATGAAATAAATCAGTATGACAGAAATGTTCAAAAAGAGCAATTAGAATTAGCTTTTACAGGTCAGAGGATTTAAAAAATCTGTGATTGGAAATTGACCTTATGATTTCTAATTGGTGCATTCTTAGTTAAAACCTTGAAATTTAAATAGGTCTCTTGAGCAAATTTCAATTAAATTAATTTGAGCTCAATTCTAATTTACTGGTGCCTTTAGTGTTTTGCAGACACTAAAGACACCAGTAAATTTGGTGTCTTTAGAGTCTGTCAAACAAGAAATATGGGTCACTGAAAGTCCTTTAAAGAGAAAATAAAATCTTCTGAAGTTCAACTGTATTGAATCAAGAATGACGTTTATCTATTCTCTCTGGCTGGGGAAAGTCGAGCTTGTAATTATTGGATGTTCTCAACAGGCTTTGGAGGGAATGTTCTACAGCTGTCTCATCATTTTAAACAGTCACATTCATCCCCAATTATGTTGTCTGATGCAACAGTTGATGATAGATTTTATAGCTTATTAGCTTGTTATTACATGCAGGAATTTTGGGTGGTCATAAAGACTTTTTTATTGACTGGAGGTCATTAGTTCCTTCTTTTTGTGCACAAATGACCAGCAAAGCTTTAACATAATAACATGAAAACAACTGTTAGTTATGAAGAGTAGTACGTACTAATTACAAATAGTTTAACTTAGGATTTCACAGCATTTCTTACTGCCACACTTGCACCATATTTACTTTTGTGATTTTTATCACTTCCATACTAATTAAAGTTCTTTCTTCTAGATCGCTGTAATGATCAGGAAACTCGGACCTCATACCGTATTGGAGATAGATGGACTAAGATAGATTCTTACGGCCACCAGCTCCAGTGTGTCTGCAACGGGAACGGCCGTGGGGAGATGAAGTGCGAACGACATGCCTCACTTCACACCACTAGCCTGGGTGAGAACTGATCATGTCCATGTTTACTTTTTGTCCCTGTGCCCCCTCAACTCCACATGGAGAAGAATTTCTACCAAAGACAGATGTTATAAGGAGTGAGAAATGTGAGGTGCCAACTGTCCAAGTGACGAAGTGAGAATGACGTATCTTTGAATTTAAGATCATTACCTCATTAGATGAGAAGATTGTGTGGGGGATGTTGTGAGAAAAATACACATGGGGACGATGGGAAGAGGAATAGGCTGTCATTGAAGCGATTATGAAGAGTGATGTAGAAAAATGTGGTTGTTGTGATACAATGTCGGTAAAAACCAAAAGAATGAGCAGCAATTCATCACTTTTATCTGAGATAATTGTTCATTTTTTTCTTTGAATTCTTTTAGTATGCATATTCTTGACTTTCAAGTGTGGCCAAAAGACATCAAACAAGTTTTGAGCATTTTTTGCATCTTGGGGGTTAAGTAAAGAGTCCTCACCTTGATCTTCATTAGTGATTACAAAATACGGTTAATAATTTTCTTTTTTAATTCCATCCAGATGTATCAATTTGTTCTTGTTTTGGTTTGCTCACTTTTAGATGTTAACCAGTAAATTTAGTGTTACTATTTGCATATATTTCACTTCACTGTTAAATTCTGAGCAGAATTTATGCAAATTACTCCCCAAAGTCCAATCATTTTGTAAAGTTTACTGATCAAAATGTATGAAGTTCTTAATCATTTTAGAATTTTACTCAAACTGGCTAGCTTCTATGAAATGAAATGTTGCTCTGCCTTATAAATAACCATTGTAATGCAAAATTTACGTTTATAATTTTGAACTAAAATTAGTACTAACATTTTTTAAAACTTTTGTGTAAAACAGAAATATGCCACATATTCCATTATGCCACATTATGCAAAAAAACAAAGCTGATATTCCTTACATATCTAATTTGAGTTGCACATTGTGTTACAGGCACTGGCTCTCATGTGGTAACCAACATCCAGCCTGCAGTCTACCACCCTGTCCCCGTGCCGGAGGTTCTCTTGGAGGGATCCTGCAAGACTGACTCAGGACTGACGTACTTCAATGGACAGCGCTGGATCAAGAACCAGGGAAATAAAAAGATGATCTGCACCTGCATGGGAAATGGAGTTAGCTGCGATCAGTGGGGTAAGAGACGATCTTTTCCAGACTTTTATTGGTCAATTTTTTTTTCGTGCCACCCAGGAGAGGCATTCTGTGAACTTAAACACACCCAAAATAATATTCAAAAGACAAAAGTAGACTTTGAGTAACTTTACTTTTCTTGTCGGCATCCAGATGGACCAGCTCCAGTGTATGGTGGAAACTCTGGAGGTCTTTCCTGTGTGTTCCCGTTTGTCCACAAGGGGAAGACGTACCATTCCTGCACCTCTGAGGGCCGCAGTGATGGACAGCTGTGGTGTTCTACATCTTCTGACTTTGACAAAGACCAGAAATATTCTTTCTGTACAGAGAAGAATGGTGAGGAATTTTTATTAAAGGTGGAAATTATCAGTAGGAATGAATTCTTATCACATTGTTTGCATTCTGCATTCATACTCAAACTTTACAAGAATCAAATTTTTATAGAGAATAAATTCCAGGATTTCAAATGTCTGATTTCTTTTTCTTTATCAGTGGTCTTGATGACACGAGGTGGTAATTCCAACGGGGCTCTGTGTCAGTTTCCATTCCTCTACAATGGCCGAAATTACACTGACTGTACCTCAGATGGCCGGAGGGATGGCATGAAGTGGTGTGGCACAACAACAAACTACGATGCAGACCATCGGTTTGGGTTCTGTCCAATGACTGGTAAGTAATTCAAGCCGGATTGGCATTTTATTGGTTGGTTTTTTTGGGTTTTACTATCACTACAGAGTGCAAACCATTTCACCCATTCATCTTTTTATACTTTTGTGGCTGTGGCTACTTTGTACCCAACTTTTCGGAATGCAAAAGAAGTTGTCTGCCAAAATGCCCACACAGCCATTTTTGTCTGCCTCATGAATAGTTGTTGGGTTGATCTGGGCTCAAAATCTTGCTTTAGTACCAAATGGAAGTAGCAGACTACAATTCCTTCCAGATGGTAGCAAACTTGATTAACATTGCTAATTGTCCTGTCCCTCCCAGCCCCATGTGAATTTTATCAACAACCCAAGCTGAGTTGTCTTATCAGGGTGATGTTAGAGTGGAATCCTGGCTGGTGTTTAATCGTGTACATTATACTAACAACATTGCAGAATTTACACGTCTCCAGTGATCAGGTAAACCGGATCTCGGAGTGAAACGTTTTGCTAACATTCCTCGCCTGTTCAGCTCAACATAACTTCTAATAAGGAATGCAGTTGTGTTACATGGGCACATGGTTCATCGGAGGTGGGTGTCTGTTTTCCAAGTGAGGTGAAAGCTCTTGCTAAAGTCACATAGTGGACGCACATGACCATTACAACAGATTCAAGGTATCTTGGTGGTGCCGTTTAAGCGTGAAACTTTTCCCCAATTAACATCCAAAAATACAGCCAATTTCCAGACAACTTTAGGTCAGTGACCAACAGTAAAGTCCATATAGCAAAGATTAAATAGAAATTATTTAAACATAACCCAAAAAGGTTTAGTGAATATGTCTGGATTTTAAATCTCCACCATCCAGATGTAAAGTTCCTTCAGAAATTCTCACTGATGGGACCACCTCTGGGCTGACACCAACTTGTTAAAACTATCCTGTCAAGTTTTAACAACAGCTGGTGAGGGGTGTCTGTTTAAACACCTTGGCTATTGTCTGTGCTGCTTGTGTGAGGTAAACCCATTCCTCTGCTGAAAGGAGCAGACTGTCTTCTCATTGGAATTACCCACTTTTGAGCCATTGTCAAAACAAACAGAGATTTTGAGGTGTTAATGGATTGTTTAGCCTTAACAGGAGTTCATGCTTTCTCCTCAAGCTTCTTTAAAGGTGGTTTGGTAATCCTCTGTGATCTAACCAGAAAACTCTCTCCAGGTGTGATTTTAGCATCCAGGACTCAATCCCATAATGTAAATTCAGTCATTTACATTGTATGACTCTCTGTCCCATTCTAATCACTCAGAAGACGAACATTATTTGATCAAACCCTCCAGCTCATCTTATCTGCTTCTCAGGTTTCGCACTGGAATAGCAGTGTTGAATAGAAGGGGCTTTATCTTCCGAAGCCAGGAACTATGTCACCATCAGCATCAGGAGCCAGTATCAGATAGCAGATAACTAAGTCGTTTAAATTAACCTAAGTAGTTGCACATGCCTTAAAATGCATATGAGCTCAACGCTGTCTTCTGATTCTTCAGACAAGTTTTTGATTAAAAATGTTTTCATAGGGGTCACAGTTGTTTGCAATAAAAAAACTTTTGTGTATGGAAAACACAAAAGTTTTAGTGGATATGTCTGGATTTTAAATCTCCACTATCCAGATGTGACGTTCCTTTAGGATGTCAAATTTCAGACTGAAACAAGATTATTATTATGTTCTTTTGTCTGAAGTAGATGTGACATAAAGTATGATACTTTTTTTTTAAGGATATAATGACAATGACCTGACCATCAGCAGGTTTTTAATTGGTAATGATCAGATTCTCTTAATTTCTGTTAAATTGTTAGAATTTTAATCTCTAAATTATTTAATTTCAAAACATATCACACCATCGTTATTTATTAAATACAAATGAATACAAAATGAGAATTTTGTCTTTGGGTAAGGACAAATTAAATCTCTAGGGAATTATATTTAGCAGTGATTGAAGATGTTTTCTCTATGACTTCATCAGGTTATCTCATCATTGAGAAAGTCTTTTGGCTCTCTTTTCTTAGTACATTATGTCATTTCTTGCATAACCCAACTTCAGCCAAGCTTTAACTGTTGCACAGATGGCCACATTTGATTTTGCAGCATTTTGGTGTACAGGGGAGATCATGGTTGAAATACCATGTTTGGTTTTTACTACACATTTCTACCTTGGCCCCAATCTATCTACAATACATTGTTCTGAATCTTTTTATGTTCATTCAAATGCTTTTCAAACTTTGAACCTAAAGCATGCTGCCCTATTTGTTTTAGAAAAGAAATGGTAGCTCTTGCTGCTCTCTCCTTAGAACCAGATGCTTTTTTGGCAATATTTTTTTCTTGAAATTTAACAGGCTAACTGAGGCCTGCAGAGCCTGAGAAGGAACCTTTTTCCTTCTCTTTTTTTTTTTTTTTTGCAATTTCTCTGAGCATTACACAGTCTGCTGGGACAGACACAGTTATGTTTAGAGTTAAATAACTTTTTAATCTTTCAAAGAATAGAACTTTTCTTCTTGTGGTTCTGATTTTAATACATAAAACCCATCATTTGAAAGAGAGCTGTTTATACTTTTACAATGTTAACATATAAGAAATAAACCAATTAGCGCTTTTGACCATCCCTCAGTCTTAGGAGATGGGGTCACTTAGACCCCACCAGGTTTTCACCCTCTGTGCAGTCTGGTGAGGTCACACTAACCTCGTGTGCACATTTACAAGTTTTTTTTTTTTTTTGTGCTTTTTGTCTGACCTCCTGAGTGTCACGCTATTACCGACAGAGGTTTAATAGCATTGAGTTTGGGTTATTATTCATGTCAAATATAGTTAGTGAAAAGTTATGTCCTTAGTCACAACACACAGAACATTAAAATACCTTTTGTCTGCAGAAGCCGGAAGAAGTTGAAATGTTATAAAACTTGATCTATCTAATTTTCTAAAGCACTTTTTCTGTCTTCGGAGTCTGTTTTCTTTATTATTTCTATTTACTCATGAGAGGCTTCATTGCAGTTTGATGAGTCATCATATAGTGATGTTGATGACATTACTATCATATCAACATCTCTACAAATTGGTCTGGGCAGGGTAAGCTCATCAATATCCTTATTTGATTTCTGTCTGCTCTTTCCCCTGCAAAGAAATTAAACACATGATCAATTTGTAAGTTTAAACAATGAAAGCTTTGTTCTCCTCCAGTAATTCTTGTACATTATTCTTATGTTTTCCTTCTTTTATCTAGGACCCACAATAGAACTGAAATAAAGCCAGTGTGCCTCCAACTTCATTTTGATAACACATTTTTGGACTCGCACACGTAAGGGCAGGCCGCTGCTTGTTGTAGCCACACTTGGAAACTTTCTCTCTGACACTCACTCTATTAATTAACTGAACCCATGTGGTGAGCGCACACAGTCATTCACACATGAAAAGACAAGACAGCTGTTTCTAACTTTTGATCAAATTTTCCTTTCTGTGCCCAGGCATTTTTATGACTGTTGTATTTGCATCACTCTTTGTGATACTTATGGGGTGATATTTCCTGCGATATTTCCTGAAGATCTTTGAAAACGTGGACTGATTTTGTATTTTGTTCTACTTGTGTGTTTTAGCAAATGAAGAAGTGTGCACAACAAGCGAGGGGCTGATGTACCGCGTAGGTGACCAGTGGGACAAGAGACATGATGTCCTAGGTCACATGATGCGTTGTACCTGTGTCGGCAATGGAAGAGGGGAATGGAGCTGTGTCGCTTACTCCCAGCTTAAAGGTATGTGTCAGTTCAGCCTTCTGAATGGACATAGTTAAAAAAAAACACATTGAAAAGTGTTTGGTTGTTTGGCTCACGTTCATTTTCTGCTTATCTCTGCTGCAGAGCATTGTCTTGTGGATGGTGTGACCTATGAGGTTAACCAGACTTTCACCAAAGAGCATGAAGAAGGATACATGATGAACTGCACCTGCTTTGGACAGGGCCGCGGTCGCTGGAAGTGTGACGCAATTGGTGGGTTTAGTACTTTAATGTTTCAGGTTCTGCAACTTGCTACCTAAGAAATTAATGAACAAGTCAACATGATGGACATAAATGGTTTCAAAATAGTAACAAAGCAGTTCTCAATGACTAAACACTGAGAAAATGAGTAACATTGACAAGATAGTAAATGAGGAGCATCTGAAAGTTAAATCCAGCAATATGGAAAGTCCCTGTGATCCAGTGTATGCCAAGATTTCAATTGATAATATTTTTAGGAAATCTTTATTATTATTTTTTTCAGTCTGTGTAAATTAACAAATTTATACAGATTAAATCAGAAAATGAATAAATCAGAGTTGAGTGGAATAAAAATAAGTAAATAAATAAATCAGTGAATAAACTGAGGCAATGCAACTAAAAAAACCGAGTCAGTACCAAGTCCATTTCGATAGACTAGAATACAGTTTGTAGAAATAAAGGATATCAACATGACTTTGGTTGCTGATTGTTACTATTTTGCTCTTAGACCATTGCCAGGATCCAGAGACAAGAACTATCTATCAGGTTGGAGAGTCTTGGGACAAAGTTATCCAAGGCGTCATGTATAAATGCATTTGTTATGGCAACGGTGTTGCGGAGCATGGATGCGAGCCCCAGCTGTCATATCCCGGTAAGATACTTCCCTCAAAGCCTTATAATTATGCTTCACACACTTTATTGCACACGCTGTAGTTCTGTAATGTATTTCAGATGCTGTGTGGGGATGACATAAGTGAAGAAGAATGTGTGTCATGTTTGCATGGATTTTGTACTTGGTTAAACATTAGTAGTAAGGTGGTCAGATGGCAGTTACCTCTGTCGTGTAAAGCCTTCATGTTTACATGCTGAGATGCTTTCATTTGGTCTTGGTGTGATGTATGCAAACAATGGTAATGCATGGTAATTCACAGTCAACCTGCTGCTGCTGCTCTGTGTTTCTAAGAGATGAGGTTGCTAAGCTAAGTTGACGAACAGGTGTGAAGTGGGTTAGTTTGCTACATGTCATGCTACATTATGGGGCAGCTGTCACTCTCTTGTCAGCTACATTTGTGTAAACATACTTTGTTGTAGCTCTTTGCTCTCTCACATTTTGACCTTTTATTTTTTAATTGCAGTGGCACATCTGCAGGAAAGCAAGCTCTGATATGGAGTACATGAAAATGTAGAAAAACTTCAAATCGTCCATGCATACGCATGAAAACATGTCATAATAAGTGTTGCTGGATGATAAATTTTATTATAAATTATTGTGATAAATGTATCACATTGGTCTCAGAGTATTTTCAACTAGTATATTAATAATAAGATAATAATGCAAGTTCACCCTCTCAAAAATAGTTTTGCACACAAACTGTCTTCCAGTTCCACATTGTATGTTCCTCACTGGAACTGGAAGATATTTGAAGTATCAAAAAATAAAACAACCAAAAACAACAAAATAAAAATAAAAACCACACGGCACTGAAACCATTAAAAAAATGGATCATGATATTTCTGCTCTTAAAATTGCCCTTCAAAAAATGCTAGTCATCAAAATGGAAATGATCAAGCTCATTTAAATTTTCATGCATTTAATTTATTAATTACTTATTCGACTCATCTACGTCTCATTCATGAAATGGTTTAGGACAGATCCGACTATTTTACCCGAGTCACCTTTAGCATAATTCTTTTCCAGATTTGCAAACTGAGCTCTAGCACAGAAAAAATGTTTGTCTCAGCCACCTCGAATATGAAACCCTTGACTTTGATGTGAAGCAGACAGTTATAGGAGGGGGGTGTCATTTCCTCTTTTACAAGTACACTCCCCTACTTTGAGCTTTTGTTCCTGCCAGCATGTGGTTCAATGCTTGTGTTGTTGCCACAGCTGTACTAAAACGCCCCAGTCCATGACTCTGGATATAACCACACCACACGTGGTACCCTCAAATCTTCAATATCTACACATCTGTAACATTGAATCTCAAGTATCACAGTTCAATTTAGAGTGTCTTGATTTCTTACATTTCTAACACTTTTTTCAGTGTTTGGGTAGTTTTGTTCATGTTATCCTACATATTTACTCACAGTAAAAAAGAAGATGCATGAATTGTTTGGTTGTATAAATTTAGACTTTTAGATATACAAAATAGTTTCAAAGTCGTGAGTAAAATGGAAATACCACACACAGTCGTAAAAGTCGAAGAAGCAAATTCATATTTAAATTACTTAGTCCTAAGTGAAGAAATATTACATTTACTTGTTTGCTGAAACAAGTTGAAGGGAAATCCAAAATGTAGGCCACTTCTCTGTCACAAGTGGCCATAATAGCAACCATCTGCAAGTTTGCACTGTGTGTGTGCGTGTTGTTTTTTTTTGTGTGTGTGTGTGTGTGTGTGTGTGTGTACATGTTCTTGTGTGTATGGGAAAATACAGCATGTGCAAGATTTCCAGACCGTAAGTTAGTTGCTTTAGAAAGCAAAACACTATAAAAGGTCAAAGAGAAGCCAAAGATGTAGATTTTTTTTGTCACATTGCAAGTTTTCACAAGCCTCTAATTGGGCAGAAAGGTTGATACAATCTTCTTTAAAATGTTCTGCTGATTGTTATCTGTTCCTCTCTTCCTGCCCCTGGTGGTTTTAATCTTCAAACCATTTTTTTATTATCAGGATGACTTCTATTAATGCTTTCTTTTGCTGCCTCCTTATCATCGCACGCTGTGCATCTGCCTGAATATCAAGGGTGAATGTTTTGTCTACAGGAGGATGGTGAGGATGCAAGAATGTATCTTTGTGCACTACAAAGATGTGCACAAGCAACTCTGGGAAACTGTGCCTGAAATTTAGTATCTCAGCTGCAAGCAAGCATCTGTTTTAATGGCTGTCCTCCATGTGATTCTGCATAACCCTTACCCTGGCCAGTGGCTTTGTGGCTCTGTAATAGGCAGTAATTGGTCCCAGATTGTTTTTGAGGTTTGTGTATTTGATAGCAGCATCTGGTTAACCGAGCCACTTGCTCAAAAACTTTTATTACAGGTCTGCTGTTTGGAAAAATGGTTAGAAAACCCCAGTTCTTTATAGAAGCTACTAGATTGTATCTGCACAGCTTATGTCAGGAGTCTGTTGAACACATGACTTCTGCTTGTGTTAGAAACAACTTCATTCAAGTTATTTCTAATGGCTGCAGTTTTGAAATTGCTTAATTTTTTATATAAAATAGGAAACATGATATCATTGGATATCAAGTTAACCAAGTTGGTTCCTCATTCAACATAGTTGTTTTGAGAAGCAGACCACAAATCCTTCCAGAGTGCAATCAGGTGGAATAATGACCAACAATTAAAAGATTTTCCCACAGGCTCTCCTCATTGGAAAAGCTGTTAAATGTTGTTTAGATCTATTTGGCTTGAACTTAGAGTCTAAATTAGGCAATAAAGACACACTAATCAGTGATGTGGCTCTGTTCTTATCTCCAGTTCTACAGATTTATTTTCAAAACCTGAGACAAACAGGATTGAAAACTATGTGGCCATAAATTTGAAGTAGAGTTGATATGACATTGTGAGAGAATGGACTTTTACTATGTTTTTGTATCTGAAAACAGATTCAGAATCACACAGTTGACATGGTAGACTGTCTTTAGGATATTGTGCAATACTTAATGTGGTTAACATTAGCAATTGTTATCAGCAGTCTCTGGGTGTTGATCCTTAGCTTCAGCCTGAAACATAAGCTAGGAAGAACAAGATACAGCACATGTTGCATTTGTATGTCAGGCCTTCTTGTTATCTGATAAAGTCTGTATTTTAGAAGTAGAAAACCGAATGATTTTAATAATTTGTTTCTTACATTTTTCCTGCTTCAATGATATTGTCCAGATCACCCTTAGATGATCAGGATTTTAAATATCAAGAAGTTAAATTAAGGAATTATATTTATACAACTTTATTTTTGAACAGCCTGCCATGTCTTTCTGGGATATATTTTCAACAATTCTTTGCAGAGTTAACATGCCAGTTGGACATAGACAAACTGGAAACTTCCTTCCCCAAGAGCTGCTGAAATATTTATATGTTTTAGTTCTATAAATAATCATAGGAATAGTAGAATAATGGTTGATTGATGAGCTTCAGAAGGTATGAGTTAAATAGATTTGGTTCTTCTCATTTGATCTGTGTTTCCAAATTGATAAAGTAGAACAAGAGGGACAGAAGTTTCTTCTTCTCCAGGAATGGAAATCTGTGCTGGAATCTCACGGGAGCCTGCTACTTTTTTTCTGTTCAGGAAAACACAGCTGCACACTGGTTGACTCTTTGTTGACTGCAGTCTAGTAAAATGATTGGTGTTTGACACGTTCTCAGATTGTTAAACTGGAAATTAACTGATATCACTATACAGTAAATTTTTCCATTTTTAATGTCTTAACATGATTTAGCTGCATTACGTAAATGTACTGTTTTTTTACTTATGTGTCGCTGGTAATTCCTTTTGATTTGTATTTTAACAACCAGAGCAGTTCTGTTTACACCGCTCTGTGCACTCTTCCTACCCCAGGTGGCCATCGTCCTGTTCAGGTAATCATTGCAGAGTCTGGAGGCCAACAAAATTCCCATCCTGTCCAGTGGAACACCCCATCATCAGCACACGTAACCCAGTACGTTCTGAAATGGAGAGTGGTGAGTTTCGTCCATTTGAGCAAAGGAAATCACAAAAATAAACTTTCTTAATCTAATGGGCTTGATTACGTATAAATATATTTAACTTGGGGTTGTGATTAAAATGTCTCTAATACAGAAAGGCACAGTTAGTCCATGGATGGAGGTCGCGATTCCTGGTCATCTTAATTCCTACACCATCTCTGGCCTCAAACCGGGGATTACATATGAGGGCCAGCTGATCAGTGTGCTTCGGTTTGGACACAGAGAGATTACGCGCTTCGACTTCACCACTACCTACGGATCATGTGAGTTAAAAAGGAGACAGATCTCAGTGATAACTGAATGTGTACAACCCCATAGCATTTTTTTTCTTTAGTTTCTATTTATCGTCTGCCACAATGATGTTTAAACAAGACTTTTCTTCTGTTTTAGTGATTCCATCGTATGGAGAAGCCACTCCTCCTCCCCCCATAGTTGAGATCTCCGAATCAGTGACAGAAATTACCTCCAACAGCTTCGTTGTCTCCTGGGTTTCTGCCTCTGACACCGTGTCTGGTTTCAGGGTGGAGTATGAGCTGATTGAACAGGGTCAAGGAACTGGACAACCTTTTGTCCTAGGTAAGTGGAATGGCAACATTTGTTTGTATTAAAACCCTTTCAAGGTAGAGTTACCCAGTTTAATTCGCTGCTGTATGTTTTTCCTCCCCTCAGATTTGCCTCGTTCAGCCACCTCAGTAAACATTAATGAGCTTCTGCCAGGGAGGAAATATAATGTCAACGTCTACGAGGTCACAGATGGAGAAGAGACCAACCTCATTCTTACTACTTCACAAACAACTGGTGGGTAGACTAAGGCAACATGCAAGACATCTTTTTCAGATCTTATATATATCAGGTTGTCAAGATTTTTTTTTCATTACTCACAGCACCTGATGCTCCAAAGGAACATGAAATACAGGGGGTGGGAGATACTTCCATTGTGATCAGTTGGAATAGACCCCTGGCTCCCATCACTGGTATGTTATAAGACATGAGTTTCTATGAAATTCTGATGGAATTACATGTTAAGAACATTTATATTACAATATTGATGTTCAATACAGCCACAATAATATTTAAACTGTTTTCCTGCACTTTCTATTTTGATTCAAACAGCAATGCCACATATAGGCATTTTCACTATGTAGGATCAGCCTCAGATATTTCGGTCATTTGTGCGCAGATTTCCAAATTCCCAGACATGCATCAAGAATGAAGACAGATTTTGAAATTTGACTTAATAATTTGAAGGTCTTTTAGTTCAGCTCACAATGTGGCTGATTGTTTAATATAAACAATGAAAGCTGCAGATGTATTTTATCAGACCAATTGGTAGTAAGTATCTCTAAACTAGAGGCACTCATCGCTCTGTTCAAGCTCTATTTGTGTTCATGTTCCCTTTGATGAAACACATAAAACAGAGAAAAATGTTATGATTGGCTTTTGCTGAAACCAGCAGCTGGCACCGAAACAATACAGCTGGTTTTTATACTATAATGTGCTCATCTTACCTCTGATTTCATTTACAGATTCAAGCTCCAAGATTAATTCACTGCATCATAATTTAGAAACAGCATTAGTCTGTGAATATCTTGAAGTTCTTGATTTAATCACAAACAGTACCAAATATTTTTAGAAAGCAAAACACAAAACTGTGATCAAAAAGATAATTTTAAAAAGTCCTGTATGTAAAAGAGACTTATATAATGGTGGAAAAATGATGCATTTGCAATAGTGATGGTTTCAACATGATGCTTTAGGACTGCAGTACATCTTGAAACCTCATTGAGTCTAATACTTTCCTGTGGGTCATCTTTCTTACCGTAAATCAACTATATTATTTGTATTTGCAGGTTACCGTGTTGTGTTTATGCCATCAGAGGAGGGTGAAAGCACAGAGCTGACCCTTCCTGATACTGCGACGTCTGTGACGCTGAGTGACCTCCTGCCAGGAATCTCCTACAACATCAGCATCTTTGCCGTGGAAGACAGTTTGGAGAGTGAACCTCTCTTTGTTCAAGTCAACACTACTGGAGAACCACTGCCAGGTTAAGAAACAGCATGTCTTACCAATTTTAAAATTATTGTTTGAAAGACAGCTGGAAATCACTTTGTATGTGAAATATGAGATTGTTTTGTGATTGTGAATGAAATGGGTCAAAGACCCTCCAAAAACGCGTCAACCAATTAAACTTCATGTCAGACGATGTTAGGGATCCACCATTATGAAGATTTTGCCCAATATTAATATCACAATAATGTTCTAAAGGTTGATAACTGCAACAAGATGGAAATACTAGTAATATAAGGCCAGTTTTAGTTGTGGGACTAATACTAAAGTTTTTAAAACTTACTGGCATTGGCCAATACCGATATTAGTCTTAATTTCTCTACAAATAGTCACTGAAACTCCTTACCACAACATTCAGTAGTTTAAAGGAATTTACTATGGTAAAAATTGTTAATTTTTCTTTTTCAACACAATAAGTTAGTGTGAAGTTTCCAAAAATGCTTAACTGTGAAGGAATGTTGTTTTTCCTGTGTATGCACAGAGGGGAGTCTAAAACTCTGTAAATGTGATTTATTGCTCTTGGATCAATCTGCAGTCCATGCTGTGGTCTGTTTAGTGTTTTATTTTTTATTTATTTGTTTTGTACAGTATCCAGGTCAGGACATAACTTGGGAAGAGTTTTAAAATGCAAAGACAAGGCATTGAGTTCACAGCTGTTCCATGGTTGTTCAGCTTCAATGGATTTGTGTAAAACTTTCCAGTCTGCCAAGTTGAACATGCATTTGGACCAGATGTTGAAGAAGTTTGAGAACACTTGTATATGTGATGCATTGAGAAACCTTGACCTAATTGAGAGAGTATGATATCATGTCTGGAACAAGAATTTAAACCATTTAGCTTGTGCAAATTCACCAGTGTTGCAATTTAATAACCATCTACGACAAATAGTACATCTACAAGTGTTACTTGTGCAGTAACACTTGTGTCACTGCACAAGTGTTAGTTGATTTGGAAAACTGAATGGGTTTGTTTAAAGAAATAGACCAGCAGAATTTTATGTGATTAGGAAATGCTAAAAACATTCTTTTATTCCTCTAATTCACAGTTGAAGTGGATTCCCCATCTGACTTGCAGTTCTTTGAGGTGTCTGACAAGAAAATCACTCTGACCTGGTCGAGCCCAGCAACCGGAAGCGTGTCGGGTTACCGTGTTACTGTGTTGCCTGTTGATGATTCAGGCTCTCCGCAGAGCGAGATGACTTTGCCTGTGCACCAGAACACCTACGTTGAAGTGACACACCTAAATCCAGGCACACTTTACCGCTTCAGTGTCTACACCATTTACAACGGAAAAGAGAGCGTACCATTAATTGGGGAACATGCCACCAGTGAGTTTGATGAATCATACTCAAAAAAGCTTTTGAAAGACATCTAAATCGGTGCTTCCAAAGCCTCCAACAATGTTTACAGATGTCTCCTATTTTTTTTCTTTTAAGATCCCGATGCGCCCACAGACATTCACTTCAATGACATTACAGACAATAGTGCAGTAGTGCTGTGGTATGCACCGCGCTCCAAAATTACTGGATATCGTCTCTTCGTGACCGTCGAGGGTTCAAATCCCATACAGCTCCGCCTTCCTGACCACATGACAAAGTACACCCTCCTTAACCTGCGACCGGACACAGAGTACAAAGTCACGCTGCATTCAGAGCAAGACAATACACTAAGTGTTGGAGAGAGTGCCGTTTTCACTACTAGTGAGTACTGGAAACTTTGTATGTTTCATTAATGGTAGGATTTTAGACATGCAAACTCTTGTTGTTTCATAATATCTGAAGAAAAGTTTAACAAACTCTCCTTCTGATTGTTTCTAGACTCAGCAATGGGTAATGCCCCTCAGTTTAACACAGATGTCACAGATACCTCCATAGTAATCTCCTGGTCTCCAGTTCCCCGCATCGGATACAAGGTATTTGCCATGTCAATAGAAAATGCTCAGTTTACTTAGTAAAATCAACTAAATGGGTGCAAGATTTAGCGGAATGACTGGAAATAGAAAAGCAGCTGTACAATATTTTTCAACATTTAGCTGAAATTTGTCCACCTTGCCTCAATTAAAAAAATATTAGGGCATCCCGATTATCTATTTTTGGATGCATCCTACTTTTATATTTTGGACAGCACTTAATGTTTGATTGAAAGTTTTAGAAGTCTTTTGTACCATTTATTTAGAAACAGCCACGTGTTTTGGGGTTAACTTTATATCCAAAGACTTTAGATTACATTTGGAAAGTGCAGTCCAGTTATCACAAGACTGCAAGCACCTTTATATCACAACACTTAGGATTATTGGAGCTCAGAAATGTATCTGATTGGTCAGAACGCGTTACGACAGAAATGAAAATGTTTATTTGGCTTCAGTTTGCTTGGGAAAACGCTGATCTCTGACCTTTACCTCTCGCATCCCCAACCTTTGGTTCTTTAACCTCTGTGTTCCTGACTCCTGTTGCATTTTTTTCTTTCAGCTGTCAGTCCGACCAAGTCTGGGAGGGGAAGCTCCCAGAGACGTCATCTCTGAATCAGGAAGTATTTATATTTCTGGTCTGACTCCTGGAGTGGAATACACCTACAGTGTCCAGCCAGTTTTTGATGGTCAAGAGCAAGGCACCCCAATCACTCGACATGTTGTCACGCGTATGTATCTGTAAATCTTTACTCCTCCAATTTTTTCTTGTGTGTATCCTTAACCACGTTTTACTTCAAAATATTTGTCCCTTTAAATCTAGCTTTGTCTCCTCCTACTGATCTGAACTTGGAGTCCAACCCAACCAACAGTGACATTACTGTCCAATGGAATGGACCAAACACACCAGGTACACACTGAAAATTAAAACAATTGGTCAAATGAGAAACATGCTTTAAGATCTGTTTCCAAATATAAACTTAACTTTCTTGCCATTTAGACATCACAGGCTTCAGAGTGAAATGCACCCCCACTAGCGGGCAACAAGGAAACAGCCTGGAGGAATTTGTGGAGGCTGGGCAGAATTCCTGCACCCTGGAAAACCTGAGTCCTGGGGTGGAGTATAATGTCAGTGTTGTCACGGTGAAGGATGACATGGAAAGCACTCCTGTCTCAACTGTCATTACCCCAGGTCGGTTTCTAAGAATTCCTTATGTCTTAAAAAGGTTTCTGACAATTTAGTACCTTTTCTTTTAAGTTTTCTTTTTCTTTTCATTTGCAAGATTTATCAAAATATCACTTCCTTCACATCCTAGCATTTAACACACAATAAAAGCTGCTAACTACATGTTCAATGAAGTTGTTTCATTGAGTAGCCTAAAAGATAAATGATGTATTCAATTTATCCTCTGAAGTTAGAATTTCTTGGAAGTGAAATGTCTATAAAGTTAAAAATTTGGCTTGGAGACTTTGAGGTTAATCACAATCCCCAAACTCAAGATCCAACATGGCTGCCATGCACAGAACTCTGAGAATTGCATTGCTAATGTCTTGGAGTTAGCCATCAATGAAATAAATGACAACCTCTGCTGGCTTTCAGACATATCACTGAAATATATTTTGACTGAGAGAAATTTTTTTTCTCAAGATTTGAATTCTGACTTCCGAGGCAATTGCATTGCGTCATTAGTGCATATGAGGAGAAGCTGACTTGATTTGTTTGGTGAAACAAAATGCTGGAAGCAGAGAAACTCTGATACTCACGTTAAACTCTGCTTCTTGTGCTCTCTTCTTTCCCTTTTCTCAATTCTCTCCCGTTTTGTCTATGTTTACCTGTTGTATTGTCCTGTGGGTGGACCGGGGGTGGTTCTTATCCTCTGAGCTCGGGTCCTCCACCAGAGGCCTGGGAGCTTGAGGGTCCTGCGCAGTATCTTGGCTGTGCCAAGCACTGCACATTTCTGGACTGAGATGTCTGATGTTGTTCCTGGGATCTGTTGTAGCCATTGATCCAGTTTGGGGGTTACTGCCCCGAGGGCCCCGATGACCACAGGCACCACTGTGGTCTTCACCTTCCAGGCCCTCTCCAGTTCATCCCTGAGGTCCTGGTATTTCGCCAGTTTCTTGTTTTTTCCTGAGGTTGCAGTCGCTTGGTATTGCTACATCTACCACAACGGCTTTCCTCTGTTGTTTATCCACTACGCCAATGTCTGGCTGGTTCGCCCTTACCATTTTGTCTGTCTGGATCTGGAAGTCCCACAGGATCTTAGCTCTGGGGTTCTCCACCCACTTTGATCTCGGGGTTTCCAGTCCATATTCTGCACAGATGTTTCTGTACACTATGCCTGCCACGTGGTTATGTCATTCCATGTACGCTTTCGCTGCCAGTATCTTGCACCTTGCTGTTATGTGTTGGACAGTCTAATATCCAGGTTGGGCTTCCTTGCACAACCTACACCTTGGGTCTTGACTGGTGTGGTAGATCTGGGCCTCTATTGCTCTGGTGTTTAGGGCCTGTTCCTGGGTGGCCAGGATGAGGGCCTCTGTGCTGTCCTTGAGTCCAGCTTTTTCCAGCCATTGGTAGGATTTACTGATATCAGCCACTTGGGTTATTTGCTGGTGGTACATCCCATGTAGGGGCTTGTCCTCCCATGATGGTATCTCTGGCACCTCAACCTCCGTTCCCTGTTGTCTGAGACATTCACTGAGCACATTGTCTGTTGAGGCTTTGTCCCTGATGTATTTATGGATCTTAGTAGTTTCGTCCTGGACAGTGGTTCTCACACTCACTAGTCCTCTCCCTCCGTCCTTGCGGCTCGTGTACAGTCTCAGGGTGCTGGATTTGGGATGGAACCCTCCATGCATTGTTAGTAGTTTTCTAGTCTTAATATCTGTGACTTTTATCTTCTCCTTTGGCCAACTAATTATTCCAACAGGGTATCTGATTACTGGCAAGGCATAGCTGTTTCTCGCACAGATTTTGTTCTTGTCATTGAGCTGGCTTCTCAGGACTTGCCTTATTCGTTAGAGGAATTTGGCTGTGGCTCCTTTCCTTGTGACCTCATCGAGGTTGCCATTTGCTTGTGGTATACCTAGGTACTTATAACTGTCCTCTATGTCTGCTATTGTTACTTGTGGGAGTGAGACCCCTTCTGTGCGGATGACCTTCCCCCTCTTTGTGATCAGCCGACCACACTTCTCTAGTCCGAATGACATCCCAATGTCAGTGCTGTAGATCCTGGTGGTGTGGATCAGTGAGTCGATGTCTCGTTGACACTTGGCGTACAGCTTGATGTCATCCATGTAGAGAAGGTGACTGATATTGGCCCCATTTTTGAGTCTGTATCCGTAGTCAGTCTTGTTGATAATTTGGCTGAGGGGGTTCAGGCCTATGCACAACAGAAGCAGTATATGCTTGGTATATGCCACATTTTATGGACACTTGTGCAAGTGGTTTGCAGTTGGCTTCAAGGGTGGTTTTCCACAGCCTCATCGAGTTTGCAATGAAGGCTCTCAGAGTCCTGTTGATGTTATACATCTCTAAGCATTCAATAATCCAAGTATGCGGCATTGAGCCATAGGCTTTCTTGTAATCAATCCAAGCCATGCACAGGTTGGTGTGTTGGGTTTTGCAGTCTCAGGCAACTGTGTGGAGCCAAACACCAACTTCTCATAGACCACACAGTTGTCTACGAGAAGTTGGTGTTTGACTCCTCAACTATTTACACCTCATGTGTTTATCTTGGCCGCTATGATGCCTGACATGAGCTTCCAGGTTATTGGTCAGTAGTTGGGTGGGTCTGGACTCTATGTTGGATCCTTCTGGATTAGGATTGTCCGCCCTTCAGTTAACCATTCAGGGTGAGTCCCACTTTGTAGCAGCTGGTTCATTTGGGCTGCCAGTCCCTCATGGAGGGCAGTGAGTTTCTTTAGCCAGTAGGCATGATCATGCCTACTGGCCTGAAACTCTTTCTTGGACATCTGTTACAGTGATGGTTACCGGGGCATCTCGTAGAGAGATCAACCACTGTGCATTGCTGTTGTGGGATGCCTCCCTTTCCCATATGCCTTTCCAGTATTGTTCAGTCTCCAGCCTTGGCGGGTCTGCTCCATTGTTATTGAGAGTACACCTTAGCCAGTTAATCCTTCTGGATTCATTCTCCCTTGTGTATCTCTTTAGGCGGCTGGCCAAGGCTTGGAGCCTCTATTCGGCAGTTTTGAGAATGGGCATCTGCCTGTACTTTCTGGGTACTGGTCTTTTCATTGCATCCTTGTAGAGCTCTGACAGTTGGCTCACTTCCCTCCTTGTTTCCTTGATTTTATTGGGTGTCATGGTTGCTCTTATAGCCAAGCATCTCAAGCATGTCATTTGGGTCATGATTCTCTTTCTCAGGTCAGCAGCTATCTCCTTCAGCTCTGATTTGCTTATTGGGGCCGTGTATCCCCTCGCTGGTTGGGGACTTGTAGTTAAGTCCCCACAGTTCTGACATCCAGGTTCCTCCTTTTTATCGTAGCATTTGTGTTGTATCTCGTCATTCTCAAATTGTGATAGCAGTTGCCGTTTGCACTTGTTTCGTGCTTAATGTTGATTCGGGATGTTGAAGTAACCATTCCTTCCCCAGTCTTTGCATATAACCTCTCTGATTAGGGTTACTTGAGTAGTAGCATTCCAACAGATCCACATTTTCACCTCTCGCCCATTTCCGTCTTATTCCACTAGCCCATTTTTCATCAAGGGGCTCTGGTTCCCCAACACCTGACGCAGACCTTGTTTGGCCGGGCAACGTCTGTGCCGGCATGTTACGCATCTGAGTAGTTGGACAATGAAACTGAAACACCTGGTTTTAGAACACAATAACTTATTAGTATGGTGTAGGGCCTCCTTTTGCGGCCAAGACAGCCGCAAGTCCTGCACAGTGGACAGAGGGATTTTAAGCCATTCTTCTTGCTGGATAGTGGCCAGGTCACGACGTTATGCTGGTGGAGGAAAATGTTTCCTGACTCGCTCCTCCAAAACACCCAAAAGTGGCTCAATAATATTTAGATCTGGTGACTGTGCAGGCCATGGGAGATGTTCAACTTCACTTTCATGTTCATCAAACCAATCTTTCACCAGTCTTGCTGTGTGTATTGGTGCATTGTGATCCTGATACACGGCACCACCTTCAGGATACAATGTTTGAACCATTGAATGCACATGGTCCTACCGAATGGTTCGGTAGTCCTTGGCAGTGACGCGCCCATCCAGCACAAGTATGGGCCCAAGGGAATACCAATAATATGGCAGCCCAAACCATCACTGATTCATCCCCATGCTTCACTCTGGACATGCAACAGTCTGGGTGGTACGCTTCTTTGGGGCTTCTCCACACCGTAACTCTCCTGGATGTCGGGGAAAACAGTAAAGGCGGACTCATCAGAGAACAATACATGTTTCACATTGTGCACAGCCCAAGATATTCGCTCCTTGCACCATTGAAACCGATGTTTGGCATTGGCACGAGTGACCAAAGGTTTGGCTATAGCAGCCCGGCCGTGTATACTGACCCTGTGGAGCTCATGACAGACAGTTTTGGTAGAAACAGGAGAGTTGAGGTGCACATTTAATTCTGCCGTGATTTGAGCAGCCGTGTTTTTATGTATTAGGTATAATACTGTTGGATGTGGTTCATCCTTCTTGGTGGTATGCTGGCATTACCCATAATTTTGTGTGCATTGCAATATTTTGAGCAAAACTGTGCTCTTACCCTGCCAATTGGACCTTCACACTCTGTTCTTACTGGTGCAGTTGCAATTAATGAAGATTGGCCACTAGGCTGGTCCAATTTAGCCATGAAACCTCCCACACTAAACTGAGAGGTGTTTCAGTTTCATTGTCCAACCCCTATATATATATATATATATATATATATATATATATATATATATATATATATATATGTATATGTGTGTATATATATATATATATATATATATATATATATATATATATATATATATATATATGTATATGTGTATATATATATATATATATATATATATATATATATATATATATATATATATAATATATATATATATATATATATATATATAGGAATGCTAACATATTTATTTTAGATATAATCAATTAACCTAACAGTCATGCTTTTGGACTTTGGAGGAAGCCGGAGTACCCGGAGAGAACCCACACAA